CAGATATGTCCCTCACAAATTTTACCTACAGGTAAGTCTCTCGGTTAGCCCTCAGCCAAACAAAATTACGAATCTAGCCTACCTATAGCACAGCCTCGACAAGAGAGGCTACAGGCGACCAAAACCCAGCAAGTCATTCCATGTGTGTGTGTGTGTGTGTGTGTGTGTGTGTGTGTGTGTGTGTGTGTGTGTGCACGCGCGCTCCATTACAGTGTTTTTTATAGGTTACAATTGTGTATATTCTGCGAAGTCACAGTGTGAGTATGTCCTTGATTGACAGATTGCTCTCGGAACCGAACGAATTCGCGCAGCAGAGCTTGTCTTCCAGCCTTCAATTATTGGACAAAATCAGGTGGGTTATGTATGGTCTTCTCTCTTTTGATTTTCAGGTTATGCACTTCTTTTTTTCTTATTTTTCTTATTTTTCTCTCACCATTTCTTAAGTTGTGTGTGTCATCCTTGAAAATGCATGCATAGGGCCCGTGATCCTAATCAACTCTGTATCGTTCCAGAATTGGAGTAGATCTCCCCAAGGACATTCATCTTTCTTCCCCATTCTGCGATTATTATGATATTTAAATATTTTTTCAATTTTTAGTTACATGTGTTTTTTTTTAACCTTATTTGCTTACTTTTCTTGTCTTGCTCTGCTTTCCTTCTCGGTCGGTTTTCGTTTTTGGTTTTGGTTTTCTTTAATTCTTGGTTTTGGTTTGTTTTCGTTTTTGTTTTTGGTTGTTTGAACTTCTTCCCGTTTTTGCTTTTGCAAGGAAACCGCACTGGAGGGAAACCCAAATAATGACCACAACGAACTCTTGTGACCAGCATGCATATGGTGGGTGACCAGGCCATTAGCAGAAATGACAAAGCAAAACGCCGCGCCAGCAGGAGAGTTGACAATGTTGAAGTCTCTTGATGATGAAAAGTCACCTGTCTTATTCTTGCCTCCCAACAATCCACAGAACAATCTTCTCTCGCTGGTCTGTCTACCATCCTATGTGGTCATCTAGTCTATCCACTGCCCGAGCCCACAGAGTACAATGACCTAGCTCCCGCTGGTTTTTGACCAAAGAATGTATCACACTTGACCTCTTGTCTGCGACCACAAGCTATGTCCCTCGCCAAGTCTCTCACTCTCTCTACAACCTTCCCCTTCCTCCTCAGACCTCCCTTCCTAGTTCTCTCTCTCTCTCTCTCTCTCTCTCTCTCTCTCTCTCTCTCTCTCTCTCTCTCTCTCTCTCTCTCTCTCTCTCTCTCTCTCTTCCGGGATCCAGCTATGGTTGGTGCTCTCCCCTCTCTCAGTCTCTAGTTGCCGCTGCTAGGAATGCCTCCCTCTCTCCCCTCTCTCAGTCTCTAGTTGTCCCTGCTAGGAATGCCTCTCCTGTGCTTGTGTGCTCCGCCCGACCAGAATATGTGCCTGATTCCTCCATATGTCGCCAGGCCTGGGTCCCTACCAGCCCATTGAGCCATCGTCCGAACAACTTGTGATTGCTGGTGCGGTTCTGGTATCCTAACAGGTCCAGTAGCAGTCTCGGTCAGGACCTTGCATCTGCTGCCTAACCAAGTTGGTCTGACCACGGGTCACGTCCGCTTCAGGGCCAAATTGGACAGGCCCTTGCATCTACCGCCGCCTTCCCAGTCTGCCGTGACCCTGGGCATACTGGCCTTCACTGCCGAGAGCACCATGGGCCTTGCGCTTTTGTTTTGTTTTGTTTTGGACCAAAAATTAATTACAATAATACAAATATGATTCGAGACCTTTTTTTGTTTTGTTTTGTTTTGCCACTCTTGTGTTTTGTTGCCTTGTTCTTCCTCTTTTCTTTTTTCTTTTTTTTTTTCCTTTTCCTGGACCATTTCTCAGCTCATGTGTGTCATGCTTGCACAAGTGCCATGCTAATCTTTTCTGCATGGTTCCAATTTTAATGCATGTGATGTCTCAAAGGACTCATTCCTTTTTTCAGTGCTGTTTGTGTCGTTTTCTTTTGCTTTTGTGTTTTGTTTTCTTGTTCTTGGTTACCAGTCACTCTGTCCCGGCTGCCCTGGCTGTTCGGTTGACCTGTCCGGGCTGTCCTGCCTGTCAAGGCCAGGTTCCTCGCTGTCCCAGTTGGGACGAGGCGCAGCCCCAGCACGAAATGAAATAAAAGAAAAGAAGTTAAAGAGTCTGGGAAAAGGGACAAGTCTTATCAGATGATAACTTTGAGGGCCTAGTCGCGCCACTCACCATCCACCAAGATGCTGAACGCTTCTGGACAAGGACCACGTTCATATGCATTCAAAATCTTGGCAGATGCCGAGTGGTGGAACTAGGCCCGAATGATGATGAAATGTTGAGGTTCTTTCAGGCAGCAGCAGGTGTACCGTCGACTCGTCGCCCGTTTTTATTTGTATTTATCCCGCCTATTGTTGATTTTTATATGAATTTTGGACTGACTGAATGACGACGGGCTGCGACCACCGCGGCTGCCATGTCATGTCATGCAATGAATTCACTAAGGTGGGCGTCGGGGAAGCTGTGTCAGCCGTGCTGCAACGTGTACCGGGCAACCTGCGGCAGCGAGTTGCAAATGGTGTATTTCTCATAACTGGAGGTGCATCCTTAATGCAAGGTAAGGTGATCGATCGGTCATCATATTCAGTGAAAAAATCTCGGCATGGATTGAAATTGGTAACTTCAAATTTTCAGCCAGCAGTTAGGGGGGTGCTAGGGGGGTGTTGAGAGTGGTGGGGGCCATTATGGGGATGTTAGAGGGGTTATGGGGGGGATACGGCGGGGGGGGGGAGGGAATATTTGGGGGGTGTGGTGGTTTCGCTTTTTCTTTTTTTTTTGTGGGGTGCCTACCAACAGCCGACCAGTAGGTGCCTATGGGCGCAACCATCGGCTGGTAGGCCGCCTACCAATCAAGGGGCACCTACCATGCCCTTTTTCTTTTTCTTTTCTTTTTTTTTTGCGCCTCTTCCCTGCTATGTGTTGTCCTTGGATTTTTCTTTGTCTATTCGCTTTGTTCTCCTCTCCGTTCGGGTTTAGCGTTTAGTTTGGTTGTGGGTGTGGTTGGTTCGGGTTCCCAGTTTGGTTGGGGTTTGGGTCTCATTTGGTTTGATTCATGGTTACTATCCGGAAGTCCGGACCGCAGTGCAGACGGTAGGGGTCTGGATGTCTGGGTCTGGTGTCCTGTCCAGAATATCCGGATCCATTCTCCCTCACCCCCACCCCAAAAATATCCAACTTTAAAATAAAAATGTGAGGAACAAGCCCTCCAGTGGCCCTATCAGACATCACATTGTTCTGGGCTAAGGCCCCCAGCAAGCCAAGTGCCCGCCCGAAGTGAAGGCGGGCCTGAATATTCGTCGAAGGCAAAATTCGACATTTCCATATGTGGGTATTCAGGCTCTCGCAGCACACCAGTTGGTTGGGAAGACACGTGAGCCTCACATTGCTGCGTCATACAGTTGGCCCAGGCCTTGACAGTTGCGCCTGGGCACACATACACGAAGCAGGGCCGATACATTGGGAAGCAGGCCTTCGGCTTTGCAAAAGCAGTAGTGCCAACACACCTGCCTGGGAGCCCTGCACAGATGCAGCAAACAGCCCAAGTCCGGAGACTCAGGCCGTGCCTGACTGCAAAGGGCCCAGGCCCTCAACTGTAGTCTCGGGCCTGGGCGCAGGGTCTGGGACCCAACTGGAAGCTACTGGAAGCTTCCAGCCAGGCCGCATGCAGCATCCAGGAGGCTGCCACTTCCACAAAAGGAAGGAAGCAGCCCAGGCCAGGCATTCTGGCCAGCGCTGGCAATGCGGAAGTGCTGCTGCGCTCTCGCTTGATGCTGCGCTGCTGCCAAGGGCGCTGACGGGGCGCGAGAGGTGAGGAGGGGCGCTGAAGGGCAGCGGGGCGCAGGCAGCCATAGCCGGGCTGCTGGGCGCCAGGGGGGGTACAGTGGATGATCGGGTGGTCTTCAGGGAAGGAGGCGCTGTGTGGGGTAATCAAGGTCTGATTGAGGGTGACGAGATACGTACCTGGTACATGAAGAGAGGTCGGCGATGGTGTTGGCAGTCATGTACATTGGTCTTCGAGAGTCGAAGTGATCCTGTTGCGTGAACCGGCTGTAGGTAGGCTAGTCAGGTAGAGTAGGCTGGGCGCCGAGCGCCAGACAGGAGAGAGCGACTTTGGAGTTGGTGTGGCCTACGGGCTTGGACATTGGCTCATTACTTCATTGTATTGCTCTATATGGATGGTTTTCTCGGTGCATTTGTACTCTCTGCTTGGGACACGACTACTTGTTCAGCTGTGTGATTTCGCAGCTTGGTTTTATGTATATCGCTCACACTCATATTCCTTGCAAAAACAAAAAAAATCTGAAAAAGGAAATGTTATCCAGCACAGCAATACAAAAATCTTCTGGCCGAGGACCATCTCGAAATTCGTAGCAAATCCAAGGGAAAAAAAATAAAACGTTTTTTTTTTTTTTTTAAGGGGGTTGTTCAATCCGGACGGTCTGGAGCAGTCCAGATAAAGGTCCGGCCAGACGTCTGGACTGGTCCGGTGTCCGGGTCCGGCGTAACCATGGTTTCATTCCGTTTCGGTTTGGGGTTTCGAACTTCCGACCTTTGATTTTTTTAATCAATCACACTAATCTGCCCCCTCCTCCTCCTCCCCCGCGCCTCCCCTTCCCTTCCCTCATCTCCTCATTGATTGACCATGCACGTGTCGTTATGGGTGCAGGGAACTAATTGTTGTACCTACTAGGTTTAAATTTCTTTTTCACAAGGCTGAGAAAAAGATGGGTGTGTTTCTTTTGAGATGACCCGGTCGATCTGATGGGTGCAGGGATGGAAACCCGATTACGAGCTGAGATTCGCAAAGTGCAACCGATGGACACATCCCAGAAGGTCAGTGCAGAACACTCAATGGTCTTTGCTTTCATTACTGCAAAAAAAAAAATCAACGGACAGTTTCCACTCCGCCTGTTCTCTTTCTCAACCTTCCACAATGTCGAATGCAACCACCGCTTCCCACTTCCGGGGAAGGTGTGTTGTTACCTTGTTTCGCAACACATCAAAAATGAAAACTTCGAGTGCATTTTGCTGTAAAAGGTGTCAAGATGCGTTACACTATTTGTGCATTTGGCGAGTTGTTTGGAACTAGGAGGGCCTTCGCGTTTTGAACAGGCAATATTAACGGTCCGGCCGTTTCAAAAAAAGAAGAAAGGTCCAGTCGTTTCATGACTCCCAAAAACAGTTACCGAATGGTCTCCACTCCTGCATCTCTCTCTCGGTTTCTGCAGTGTCAATTTTGGCGCCACTGCTGCCAGGTTCCCCCACCCCCCGACCCCCCTCGATACTCCTTCAAAATTTTGCCCTGCAAGTCTTGTCTTGTTTTGTTCTTGTTTTCTCAAGAGTTGTTGTTCCGTGCATAGACTGTCTGGTTGGTTTTCCAATCCAAGTTCAGCAAGACATTTGTCTTAAAGCCAGCCAATCAACCAACCAACGGAACCAACGGTGTCGTTCCATCAACTTAGCATTTGCATGGGCCGCTTTGCGTCATTGTGTGTGTTTTGGTGCTGAACTTTGCTCTGTTTTTTCCTTCCTCCGTGTGTGGTGTCTTGGCAGATTGCTACAGCAGACAACGTAGTTCTCGATGCTTGGCATGGAGCCTCCGTTTTAGCGGCTTCGCAGAATTTCCAACGACAGACGTTCACAAAACTCGACTATGATGAGCGGGGACCCGACTGGCTGCGCAAGTATGCATTCAAGTATGCCACAAAGTAATGCAAGTCATGAAGGGTGAAACACGGCAGTAGGAAAGTGAGAGGAGAGGAGAAGGAAAGTGAGGTAGGCACAGAATGATGGTGTATGGAAATCAGCAAGCTGGCGGACGAGGGCCTTCCTGATAGGCCGAACTAGGTGTCTATGGTCTGAACCTGCCTAGCATAGGATGGGAAGTGGGGTGGCAGGGGATGGGGGGGGGTTGCAATACGAGAACAAGGTAGTGTAGGGTGGCGAGGAGGGGGGGAGTCAATACGAGAACAGGGCACCTACCTGGCAGGTGGAAGACGTGGTCCGGTGACGACTGCATAGCCCGGTCAAGAAAAGCCGTCCACCAATTTGACCCTAGCAGAATGAGGAGGCCCAGCAAAGAGGGGGGCAGTGGAGTGGTAAGGGTGAATAGTCTACACCCCTGCGTGTCTGTTGCATGAGGGAATCTTGAAGGGACACGACCTTTTGGCTGAGCCAGGTAGGTAAGTCTTTCCTTATCCAAAAAAGGATAAGAAGGTAGCCAGCCAACCATAAACATAATGCATGAACCACACGATAAACCCAAGATCGGGCGTTTCTGTTGAGGCTTCTTTTCCTCAACAGAAGGGTAAGGAATCATGATGGCATGTTCTTTGCATGAAACTGAGAGAGAGAGAGAGAGAGAGAGAGAGAGAGAGAGAGAGAGAGAGAGAGAGAGAGAGAGAGAGAGAGAGAGAGAGAGAGAG